GGTCACTCTTTTGTCAGTCTCTATCATACGCCGCACAACACAGATGTTATCTTCAGTCGTCGCCGTAGAAGGCCGTCCCTCACGTAAATCATCAGTGAGATTAGTGCGACCACGTTTAAACTCATTAAACCAGTTGTAAACAGTCGCACGAGATGGGGCTTCATCGTGAAAGGCCAATCGTAGTCTATCATAACTTTCTTGTTGACTTAAATGACATCGAAAGTCATAAAAAATCATTGCACGAAAATTTTCTCGTGTTAAATTCATGATGACGTGACACAGACAATTTTCAATTTGCCGCCAAATCGTAAAACAAATGACAAATGAATGAAATATATACTCAGTAATATTGGCAAAGAGTTATATTTTCAAATTTTAGAATTATTTTTTTATTATATTGTTTATAAGTGGCCAGTTCTAAGAACTTTCAGTTTGACCCTCGTATTTGAGGAAAAATTCAGCAAACAACTACATGCATGGGATAAAAAAATATCAGATTGTATTGCGGCCGCGGTAAGCGCTACAGTTTCCTCAGAAATGACGAAAATTACTTCAAGGCTTGGCGAGATCAATAGCAACATGGTCAAACTTAATAACGACAATTGTAATATTAATAAATCGTTGATTGAGACTAACAAGAGACTGGATGTAATGGAAAAGTCATTAAACTTTAATTCTGATAGACAGGAAAGTTTTGACAGCAAACTGAAAACAATAGAAAGAGATTTATCTCAAACAACTAACTTATTAACACAGATTAATAGTTTGGAACACAAAATTGCTACAATGGAGCAGCAGGCTCGGCAATGCAATGTTTAGATTTCTAACATGCCAGAGCGACATGGCGAAAACTTGTTAAACACACTACAGTGCCTGCCGGTGACGTCATTAAATGTCCAATAAAGGTAACAGATATCATCTCAGTTCATCGCGTGCCTCATGCCGATCAGAAAAATCAAAGACCAAAGAACATAATTGTCAAGTTTAATAACAAAATAATTCGGGATAACGTTATATCAGCTGCTCGGGCCACAAAAGGATTAACTTCCGTTATGCTGTCATTGGGCAGTTCCTCTGTGCCTATCTATGTCAGCGAGCATCTAACCCTTAGTAATAAAATGTTATTTCGGCAGTGTCGTGAAAGTTCAAAAAAACATGACTATAAATATGTGTGGATTAAAAACGGAACAATCCTGGTACGAAAATCGGACACCTCGCCCGTATTGGCTATTCGATCGTTGCAAGACATTACAAAGATTAAGTAACAAAAATTATAAAAATAGATCTATACATATAGGAATAAGTAAAATAAAATATTATGATGATTTAAATAAGGTCAAAGTTTGTCAAATTGCATCTATGTTAAAATTAATCTACCTACATAAATATTGCTTATTGCATCTGTATATTCAACACAAGGACATATTTTATTTAAATAATGTTATGTATCATGTATATTTAGATCTGATATATTTAACAAAGAAAAATGTCTATGAAGCTATTGAAGGTTTTGGCGAGATACATGAGGCGTTATACTATTTACTTCATTGTTTTCACTATGAATGCTGGTTGTTCAATATGTGTAGCGCATTGTTAACATGCTGTGGTGCATATCTGATGGGAACTGTTTTAAATTGTTTATATACGAATCAATTCATCAAAATACACAATGATGGCTATGATATAATTATAATCGTACGCCTAGTATATAATTCTATCTATATATCGCTGGTTCTCTAAAATAACGGCATATTTTGGGATCATACAAATTTGAGTTCCATATGTAAGGAGAATGACTGTAAGCTATATTGCCTTGTCAATAAAACTCATATTCCTACAGCTACAATGGGCGGAGTTACGTCACTAATGTCTTTCTGTGATTGGTCGAAACATGACGCCATTTTGGCAAGAAGATCGTCCGATCACCATAAAGTTACAGACTTTCGGAGCAGAAGCATCGCTTTTCTCTGTAAAAAAGGCTCATAACAACATAATCCATCGCTAGTCAGTGAAGTTTATGTAAAATATAGTAGTGTTTGGTGTTGTGCCCGTATTTTCGAGAAGTAAGTAATGATCATTTAATTATTGTTATGTGATTTAATGACCTAGTCCTAAATGTGACGATATTTTTAATAATTTACGAGTTCTTAGTAGGAATATATATGAATGTGTCATTATTTAAGATATGATTTAAAATAGTTCATTAGTTTGGTTACAAAATGTGTCAATATTTCACGAAAATGTAGTTAAAAACAAAAACATAAGTCGTTGTTTCCGATAATATTTTTAAATCTTTGCTCTGATAATTCTTTGATATACCTACGACACTTTTTACACCACTGCCCAAAAAATGAGTGTATTGTGTTTAGGGTTCATGGCTGTATGTATGTATGTTTCTTTATTCCACCATAATATATCTTCTAATAGGCAAAACCGATTTAAACCGAGTGGTCCACCCTGGGCAACGTCTCCACGTCTGTGGAGACGGCTAAAGATCCCAACTCGCGGCAGTAGGGCCTGCAAAGGTCCACCTGGGTCGCGACAACCCTTTCAACGGAATCTGACGCCATAACAGTATCATACTGTGTTCCGCTAGTGCGTGAAAGTTCTAGTGCCTTCGGGAAAATTCCAGGTGAGGTCGCTACATCCTCGACCTCGTCATTGCTTTCCTAGATGGGTCATGCATGACTGGAATCAGGACCTCATAAATCTGTAAAAAAAAAGACGACACATTACGTAGGGCTTAACTTGCTTCTATTGATTATTTTTATTTTATGTTTCAGAAATGAATCCCAGAACAAAAAAAAATGTTTGAAACATTAAACATAGAATACGACAAAACTAAAAAAAACAGTTAAAATCTTCTTTTAAAAGTAAAGAAGATAAAGAAAATATAACTAATTCAGAAAACGAGTTTTCATCTGACGACAGTGTTATAGACCCCAATTACAACCAGGATACTAAAAATATTTCTGCCTCTGATTATGACGAATACGAAATTATTTCCAATAAACGTAAATTTGCTAAAAATGATTTACAGTCGAAGAGATCAAAATACGAAAATGATGTTCAACTTGCCCGAAAAACGTCTTACCAACAAAAAAAAGTATCACCTATGATCATCTATGATATACCATCCAATGAAAAAACCACTCCCTTTTTAAGGAATCGTTCTCTGAGTAATTCTTCTTCGAGTGGATCTTCGTCGAGTGAATCTTCGTCGAGTGGTTCTTCGTCGTGTGGTACCTCGTCCAGTGTTTCTACATCGAGTGGTTCTTCACGCAGTTGTTCGCCTAATACCAGGCCTTTGGCAGACAATCAAACCACTGATACTCAGATTTCTGACAAACCTTTGGTGCCCTCATTATCGTATTTGTGCCGAAAAAAAGTATCTGCAAGCAAGACCTCTTCAGGCTCTGAAACCAACACTAACTCATATAATTCTTCATCTCAAAACGAGCTACCAGCAGCAATTAAGGCAGTATGTGAAACACATGTTACTAACCCACAAGTGAACGAATTTTTTTCCGTTGAAAGCGAAATACTGCCTGCACATTTACAACAAGATATTGCCGAAGTATCAACATCGCATCTTCATCGTCAAAATGAAGTTTTACGTGAAGTTGAAAATGCGTCACAAAGTACTGATCCGAACAGAAAATCCCGCAAAAAAAAGCGGACCCCAGCAACTGGAGAGCAAATAAAGCAAAACAGTTGAGAAATCTCGGCAAACCCTACGTTCCGGCAAACAGTTCCAAAAACAACAAACGCATAGTACCTGAAAGGTCAGTAAAACCTCCGTGTAATAATAAATGCAAAATCAAATGTCCTGAAAAAATTACAGAATCCCAAAGAATAGCTATTTTTCAAAGCTATTGGGCATTGGGAGATTTAGAAAGACATCGTGAATTTATTGCACGCCATATTACTGAAGTTAAACCAAGATATTCATATAGAATGCATAATAGTAGCCGAGGAAATAATAATGCGTATCATTTAACAGTAAAAAACGATAAAATTCGTGTTTGTAAACATTTTTTTAAGGCAACGTTGGATGTTACAGACCGGCAAATACGTACAGTTGTTCAAAAAGTGAAGGGCAGCTCTTTTGGAGACTTGCTCCTAGATCAACGTGGCAAACATACCAATCACAAAGCTGTTTCTAAGGATATAAAGGACAGCGTATATAATCATATTAATTCAATCCCAAAAATGGAAAGCCATTATTGCCGATCAGATTCTCAGCGTGAATATATTGATGGAGGATGGATAGGACTATCACCATTTGTGTCCATATTTAATGTTATTTTCATAAACTTAAATTGACCTATGTCGAAGTGCATTAACATTACGTTGAATTTCCCTTAAACTACAGACACAGTTTAACACACACTATATTATTAATATTATTTAATAAAATACGATTCAATGTAGCTATCTAGCAATGTGATATGATAATTAGGTATTAAAATATGAGACTGCAAAAATGACAAAAAGTTTAAAACGTTCTCCTGAAAAAATGTAGTTTTTAAGAGAACCAGCGATATATCCTATATTATATTTTAACTGTGCCTATGTCCTAATAGAAAATATATATAAAGTAATAAATAAAGGGTACTGTGTAAAAATTGTATATATACATTATAACACTACATTAAAATACTTTGGTCACAACAAACGGTTTTTTATATTTCTAACAACATATCAATTTGTGCATATTCTTCTTATAAAGGTTCTAATTAATCTCAAAATTATATTTATCCAACAACATGCATGCAACTGTATAAAATACTATAAATACAATTGTAATACTATTTCTTGGTATGGTATAAATGGGAAATTAGGTAAAATGAAAAGAACTATTCCGAATGAGTTAAAAAAGCATGTATGCCACTGTGCAGCATTGTACAAAAATAAAATATATATAATACGCAATAATACATATTCTAGCTTAAATCATAATATTTTAAATCTAAAACGTTTACTAAAGATCTTAGGTTATGGCTAAACATGTGCTGTCAGTTTATTATCAGAACTGTAGGGGTCTCCGAACAAAATTGCACACATTATATATGAATGTCCTATCTCACAATTACGACATTATAATACTAACCGAAACTTGGTTAATTGAGAACATATCTGAGAGTGAAATGTTTGATACACGGTACAGAGTGTTCCGTTCGGACAGAGATCGCATAGCCAGCGGCCGGCATGACGGCGGGGGCGTTTTGATAGCTGTGCGCCGTGAGCTTGCAGCAACACCGCGCGTTTTTCCTCTCCCACTCATTCTTGCCCCGCCGCCATTTGCGCACCATCATTGTCGTCCCTGAGATCTCCTCTTGTTGATCAAGTACTAATCGAATTACGATCACGCAATTACTGTTGTGTGATTACGGCCCTGTATTTTTCGCCTAAATTAAACGCAGATATTTACATGTCACACTTCAATGATCTTCTAGAAATATTTCAGGCTCCCGATGTAACAGATTTTATTATTGTCGGTGATTTTAATCTACCAACCCTAGAATGGTATAATCGTGGATCTCACTTAGACCCGATTATGACAAATACCGGTTGCTTATCTAATAAACATTTGATCAATTTATTGGTCACACTAGACGGTTTCCAAGTAAATAAATATAAAAATATAAATGATAGATTATTGGATCTATTTATTACCAACATAAATAATACTACATCTTTACTACCGCCAATTCCGCTAGTGCCTACGGATAAAAATCATCCCCCATTTATTGTATTAGTTCCATTAAACAATGCTGGTTTCACACCTCTCTCAACTAAAACCTGTGCTCAGTTTAATTTTGGTAAAGCAAATTATGACATTATTAATAAAGAAATTTCTAAAGTTGACTGGGAAGCCTTATTTCTTTGTGACAGTGCGGAAGAAGCTGTTTCGCTATTCTATGAAAAAATTTATTGCATTATTAAAAATCATATACCTTTAAAATTTGAAAAGTCTACTAAATTTCCTATTTGGTTTACGCCTGCTCTAATTCACATTTTCAAAGATAAAAATAAAGCTTGGATAAAATGGAAAAAGTACCAAAATATATCCGACTATCAAGAGTTTTCAATGTACCGAGCTCGTTTTAAGTTACACGCACAGAAATGTTATAATAACTATATTAAAAATGTTGAGGAAAGTATACAAGATAACATTAAATATTTCTGGACCTATGTAAACAATAAAAAAGTCACAATCGGGATCAACAGCAGACAACCCAGAGCATGTTTGTGATTTATTTTCAATATTCTTTGGATCTGTCTTCGAACCCACATCTGTCACCCATGATTATGATGTCAGCAACATCCCTGATAACAACTTTAAATCGGACGTGATTATAAGTGAAATTAAATTAATCCAAAGCTCTGTTTTGGACGTGCTTTGTAATTTGGATGTCTCAAAGGGGCCAGGAATGGATAATATACCTCCAGCTTTCCTTAGACACACGGCAAAAACAATATGTCATCCAGTGCAAAGACATATTTAATTTATGCTTGCAGAAGGGAGAGTTTCCTACAATCTGGAAATCAGCTCGTATAGTTCCAGTATTTAAGGGTGGTGATAGATTCAGTGTTGAAAATTACCGACCAATTTCTATCTTACTGTCATGTCTAAGCTACTTGAAAGTTTGGTTCATAATAATATTTATCCAGTTTCAATAATTTTATTATACCACAACAGCATGGTTTTGTCAAACAGCGATCTACAACCACACAATTAGTTAGAGTTACACATCATATCTTTTTGAAGGTATAGATGCTATAAAAACAGATTGATGTTATATATACAGATGTCCAAAAAGCCTTGACAGGGTTGACCATCGGTTATTAAGTGTTGGCGGTTCGGGTGTATAATGATAGTCTGACTGCGATTATAATAATGTGTTTAATTACGTTTACATTGGCTTATATATATGAGGAGTGATGAGTGTGTGTGTACACACACTACACCTCCCCCTAAAAAATAAAAAAACCAAGATTACATTTTTTTTTTTAAATTACATATACATATTGACGATATTAGCTAAATATTGTTTATAAAACCGTTCTTGTGTTGTTGAATTTATTGAAATAGATACAAAAATCTGATTTTTGTATTACATACAAATAAGTAGGTATAAAATTAACAAAGGCTAGCTTGACACATTTACAAGATTAGTTTGAGTTCGTAATGAATTTATACATTCATAATTCATATATATATATTTTTAAAAATGATATTAAAACTTGCTTATTACATTAAACAAGTTATTTGGACTTGAAGTTTTCCAATACAATTTTCATTCCTATATCGGTGTTATCTTTATAATATTGCAAGGTAGACATCTACAAGTATAAAATTTTAATAAATAATAGTAAGTTGCACAAACAATTTGTATTATTTTAAATTGTTTTTAAATTTATAAAGTTATATATGAAAAGAAAGTATACAACTTGCATGTAATGCTGAAACTAACATTTTGTTACAGAAATACAGCTTATGCAATTACGTAAAATGAATTTATATTGTATATTATATTGTATAACATTATCAATTTGTTTGGAAATTATTAAACTTTACTTTTACATTCATCGTTATAATAAGATACAAATAATAAAACACAACATATAATAAAATATCATAAAACACAATTGAAATTATTTATTCCCTTTAATTTAAAAATTTCGTTTTCATTAATTTATTGAAAAAAAAAAACCGTTATTAAAAGTTATTTAATAAAATATAGTTTTTTGTTATTATAACTTCACAAAGAAAAAATAAACTCTTACAAATTAGATATACAAATTGCATATGAATATTTTCGATATTAGAGAGTTATCGAAAATACAATTATACATGAATTCTTTATATGGATTTTCATGAAAGTGTGGATTAGATTGCACTGCTTATGTTTTAAAATTAAGATTGCCAAAAAAATTATCTCATTTCTCGTTCATAAAAAAAAAATCATATATAGTGACTTAATAAATCAACACTACTAATATGTAAAGAAAAAAATACTGTTCACTTTGTTTTCATATTTATGTGCTAGTTTAGATTTTTTTTTGTGTCCATATCCATATAATATAAATCTATCTTGAAATTATTATTTTTAATGTAAAATAGCACATACTTCAGTACAGTTCTTTTATTTTAAAAAAAACTATCTTTTCTAAGAAACTTTCTTTCAAATCACTTGAGTATTCGTTAATCATTTCATATCTATCCTTTTTTTTACAAATACATATCAATATTCTACCTATTTCTTTCTATCATTTTCTAGCACTTTGTTTCTATATTATATATTCTCATCCGTTTAACTAAGCTTTCATCGTCATTATTTCACCATTTTTTTTATGATTCTAATTCTTTAATACCACACAATACCAACAATACCTATATACTTATTTCAGCATCTATCATCTTTATTTCACATTTATTAAATCATACTTTATTCCATACTCTTGCTCATATTCTTAATTTCATATAATTTGGGTACACTTATTTCATAACACATTACACACGTAGGTACTTTGCCTATACGCATTATTTCACTCACCTGTTTCGCTCGGCGCCGGCGTTCTTTCATTTTCATTTTATTTATTCATATTGGTACATATATTATTTATAGTCGACTTTACATATTCTATAATATTAAATGGACAATATCATGCCATTTGGGTTGTGGCCACAACCTAATTATTTTGGGGGTCTTGGTTTAAGCCTCTTTTGGACTCCAACTTATCTCACGGAGAAATCTCGTTTGCACCATGATCGAATGGAAGGATCCGACCCTCCATGTACCATTTTCATACACATTTCTTTTCATAGGGCCATGAATTAAGACACATTTGGTCTCCAACAGTATTCAAATGAGAATCTCGTTCGTCAATTGATAAGACTGAAGGACCCGATCCCTATAGTACCCATTTCTTATTGTGTACCGTATAATCGAGCATTTTAATTCATTAACTTTCATTCCTAATTCATTTTAATTCACAATCCATAATAATGAATATTTTGATTAATAAGAATTTCATAGCTCCTGGGTGATCAGTCCGTTTGCATGGAAAATTTTATAAACCAAATTATTCCCAAACATCCTTAAATAAACTCGTACATTCATTCCAATACCTTCATAATAAAATCACTTCATCATTTTCATTCCTTATCCATACTGTACCTAGTTGCCAACAAAAGTAACAAAAAGATTTTTCATACAGTTTACATAACTTATGCTTTCCATAAAATTCTTTCATCATCATCCGTGCTGTACCTAATTGCAATCTAATAATACTATAAGAGTAGTCACAAAAAGATTTTTAATACAGCTAACATAACTTACACTTCCCAAATACACTTTTCATTATTTTTTCTTGTAAATCTTTTCTTTACTTATTTATTACTTTGAAAACTACCTGTCATTATTATCATTCCTTTGTTACGATATTGTTTTCCTGTGAATAATCTTACTTATTACAAAAAAAAAAATCTAAGAACTTCGATTCGAATACTAATTGTTATTGTAAAATGAATATAATGTTTCAGTCCAGATAAGCATAATCGGATATCTCAAGTGGTATTGTTTATAATTACAATCATGTTACTGCTTCGCTTAAATGAAAGCTTGCAAAACTGTAAATGGATCGTGCTTCGTGTTCATCGAAGTAATAGAAATATTATACCTTTGCTTTGTATTCCTTCTAACTAATTTAGAATTGTCTTATGACATACATAAACATAAACGATCTATATTATTTGTATATAGTTAAGTCCTGGGTAGCTTAGTGGTTATAGCAGCTGCCCGGATTTTTCATTCCCAATAAATAACTACTATTTTCAAACATGATACTTTAAAAATATGTCACTGTAAAATCTGTTATAGAATATGATTTTGTTGAATAAGACTATAATAAAAGAAAAGACAAATAAGTGAATTACTTTTTGTAAATAATATACAGACAAGTTGAAAATTTCTAATTTGCTTTAATGTTTTTTTTTTTTTGTCAAAATATGTATTCACTGCTGTTACCTTAAATAATTTTATATATAATTATTGTAGTTTTTCCATTGATAATTCTCAGTAGTTTTGTATCTCTATTGATTTGAATAAATCTATGATTGGTTAACTTAGTGCTATTAAAAAAATTACTTTCAAACAAGAATTTGAATTTTTGAGAAATGACACAAAGAAAATATATGTCATAGGTGGTCATTTATTAAAAAAAAATCAAATTAATTCAATTTTATGTAACGGCATTTATAAATATTTGCAAATAACACTTTTTTTTATTTTTTGACGTTCAAACTTTATTTCTTATTAAG